TTATTTTTTTGGGAAGGGGGGGACGGCGGGGATACAATTAAGCATAATAATGTTAAAAAAAAAAAAGTTTTCTTCCGTCTCATTTTCTTTTAATCTGATAAAAAATTTATCTTTCTTTATTCCTTTATGCCACGCAATAATATACCCAATTTATTAGACGGAAAAATATTAACAGGTGTTTTACCACCTGATAAACAGCCTCCACCTCAAAATTTTTTATCAAAATATAGTCAGCCTATATTAGTTGACATAGAATCTTGCATAGATGACCCTTCATTAGCTCCATTAGGCATTCATGTCAAGAAAGGGAAAAAAATAAAAAAGAATACAAGTATTACGTCTAAAGAAGGGCAAGTACAGATTACAGATTCCAGAAAACATGAACAAAGAAGACTTTCTTTAAGTAGAACATCAAGCAATACTGTTATGCTAAGAAGAAGAGGATTAGAAACCAGTCAGTTAGCCGAAGAATTAAATAATTTACTTTTACCTTCGTTAAATTCTTTCTTAAAACTACCTTACCATAATCAGTATACAACTATTTTAGAACTCGATATTTCAAGAAATCGTTTAGATAGTTTACCGTCTCAAATAAGTGAACTCATTCATTTACGAATCTTAAATGCTACCTCAAATCAAATTACCGAGATACCTTCAGAACTCTTTGCTTTAAAGGAATTAGAGGTTCTATCACTTTCACAAAATCAAATCACATTTATCCCTGAAGACATGCCCCGTCTTTTACCTAATCTAGTGACTTTTCGTATTGCAGCTAATTTGATCGAGAGCCTACCTAAGCGATTAAACTACTGGCAAAAGTTACGCCATTTGCAGCTCGGTTCTGTTTATGGAGGAAACAAATTAATTCAACTTCCTGATAGTCTCACAGAGATGCCTGTGCTCGAAGAACTTGATGTCTCTTATAATCAACTCCGAAGATTACCACCTGACCTACACTTGTTACAAAGCCTACAAATCTTAAACGCCTCTCATAACCAATTAGAATGCATTCCTAAATCCATTACAAGGTGTTATCAATTAAGGTCGCTCAATCTATCTCAAAATCACTTAACAACTTTGCCAGCTGATTTAATGCATCTTCAGCGACTTGAATTATTGGATATCAGCGAGAATCTTTTGTGTATTATGCCTGCTGAAATATTAGAAAGAATGCAGTCAACAACCTTATTAATCACAGGTAATCCTCTTACAAGGCCGGGACATTGCGATCAACAATCAGTAGATAGTGGAGATGCTTATTCTCGTATTTTAAGACAAATGATGCAACGTGGTGTTCCTCGTTCTTCTTCTTCTGGAGCATCATCACCCATTCTTCATTCACCTTCTGTTGCTCGATCATCCACTTTCATAAACAAGAAAGCATCTAAACAAGAAGAATGTGGCCCTTATGGTATGGGCTGTTTATTACCTGAATCTTCTTCTGCTTCTTCTTCTTCTTCTTCTTCAGCAGCAGCAGCAGAAATAGCAGCGTCAACTTCTCATTCCCCATATGATGATGAAGATGCCACAATTGATAAAGAACTTGCTTTTCATGCTCAACAATTAAACATTAATAAATCTCAATCCATCCTTTCTAGTTCATCTTATCCAACATTAGCAGGTTTAACAGCAACGCATTCAAGATCAAAATTTGTACAAGATCATTCAACCCATAATAACTCTTGTGTTCTAGTTGATTTCCCACACGATTCACCTTATCTACCAAGCGAAACAGCTCTTTTACTTTCCTTACGAGAAATAGCCACACGAACCATCTTGCAACAAAATTTAATAAAGAAAATACCATTTGAATTACTTCCGTATCATTTATCACAGGATATTATGGGAGGAGGGCATAAGAAGATATGCTCATATTGCTCAGGTCCCTTTGTAAATGAATGGGTCACATCAGTACAGATCAAAAGTTATGGAGGTCATCCAGCAGTTGTACGACGTGTAAGGTTTTGTTCAACGCGATGTTGGACTCAATGTTTACCAAAAGAGCAGTCCAAGTCTGTTATTTGTGTTCATCACTGAAGTCTCCCCCCCTTTTTTCTTCTTCTTCTTCTTTTCTTTTGTAGATACCCTTTCTTTATACTGTTACATAAATAAAGTTATAACTATTATAATGTTTATATAATATACACAAGATATACCGTAGTAGAGTCAATCTTCATTACTTCCCATCCTTTTTTTTTATTATTATTATTATTCATAAATATATTATTATGTAGTTTTATCATATAAATCAAACCAGCATATACATGATCATTTTGATTCTATCCTTTCGTGTTTAATCAAAAAATACAAAAAAAAAAAAAATCTTATTTTGTGTATAATCAAGTTAAAGAATAGAACTCACTTTTCTTTATTTATTTATTTCAATTTATGAATCAATGATACTTTCAATCTCATTGATCATATTGGATATTCATTTTGTCTATCATTACATTTTTTTTTTCTCGAAAGCACAAAAAGAATTATACGAATTCGAAACTCTCTCTTTTTTCTTTTTGAGAGCACACAAATTGTCTTACTGCTGCTTATTGAAAATTTATTACCGGGAATATGAATTTCCTGTGCCGCCCACTGTTGTAATAATAATAAAGATGATGAAAGTCACACAGCTATGTTGAAATTGCATGCCCTTTTTTTTTTTTTGTTATTATATTATTAAAAAAGAAAGGGGGGGGGGAGGGGGATAGTTCAATGAAAGCAAAAGAATCATGAACATTTTTCGACAAAGTCAAAAACTCAATTGGACCCATGTACTAAAAATCAATACATGTTTTATAAGCACTTATTCTAATGTTGTTAAAGACATGACTCAAAGGGGTCTTGTTTCAAATATAACAAGGTATAGTTTGTAGAAGAAGAAAAAAAAAAAAAAAAAAAGAGAGGGACACATATTTATATTTACAACTTCCTCTACTACTAACACCACCACTTTTTATTTTTATTTTTTTCATATGTACCTGTTGACTAAAGTCCTGAAATAATCGAAAAGACAAACAAACCTACAACCATTTATTGTGGAGTAGATCCAACTGCCAAAAGTCTTCATTTAGGCAATCTTGTAACACTAATGGGCTTATTACATTTTCATATTCGAGGACACCAGACAATTGCCCTTGTTGGAGGAGCAACAGGGTCTATTGGTGACCCATCTGGAAGAAAATCAGAACGTGTACCATTATCACAAGATATACTTAGGGAAAACGTAGCAGGCATTGAAAGACAGATACATAGATTCTTTAAAAACGGTGCAAGTTACGCTAATAGAAGAGGATTTAATGATTCCACCCTAGATACAAGAGAACCAAAAGTATTGAACAACTTTGATTGGTTTAGCAATATGTCAGCGCTTGACTTTTTAAGTTCAATTGGAAGATATGCTAGAGTCAACAGTATGCTGGCAAAGGAAAGTGTAAAGTCTCGATTAGAAACAACACAAGGTATTAGTTTTACAGAATTCTCCTATCAACTTTTACAAGCTTATGATTTTTGGTATCTTCATCATCATCATGATTGTAGAATCCAAGTGAGTAAAGGGAATGCTTATGTAAATCTATTCTATTTTCTTATCGTCTTTATATTAGTTGGGAGGGAATGATCAATGGGGTAATATTACAGCTGGCATTGATTTGATTGCAAGAAAGAAGAAAAAGAAGGACGATACAGAGTCAGAGTCAGAGTCCAAGGTTTTTGGGATTACAATTCCACTTTTATTAACTTCAACGGGTGAAAAATTTGGTAAATCTGCTGGTAATGCAATTTGGTTAGATGAATATATGACAAGTGTATTTGATTTCTATCAGGTAAAATCAAGCCAATGTATATATACGAATCAAACATTTATATATTCATATACAAGTATAGTTTTTAATGAAAACTACAGACGAAGATGTTGGAAAATACTTGAGTATGTTTACTTTGTTAAAAGAAGAACATGTCTCTGAAATTATGGCTGAACATCAAGTAAGTAAAATAACAAAAAAAAAAAAAAAAAAGGTGTGTTTATATTAAAAAAAAAAAAAAGAAATATCCAGAAAAAAGATTTGCACAAAAAAAACTTGCAGATGAAACAACTGAACTCGTTCATGGAAGTAAGTAATCTGTTTATTTATATAAATATGACAATATGGAAATCAATAGTAACTTTGAATTAGTTGATGGTTTACGTAAGGCAAAGACAGCAACTCAAGTGCTTTTTGGTGAAGATCTAAGTACTTTATCTGGAGATCAAATTATTGAAGCTTTCAAGACAGATAGAAATCGGTTTATAAAACTTGATCGTTCAGCTGTAATCGGATCTAGTATTGATATCATTGCTTCTGTTACAAATGCTGCTAAATCTAAATGTAAGTCATCCTTGTTTAATTATATATATGACACTAACATTGATCATCTTTAGCTGATGCACAAAAGAAAATTAAAGCAGGTGGATTTTATTTAAATAATCAAAAAATAACCAATGTTAAGCACGTAATTGAAGAAAATGACCTTATTGATGGGAAAGTATTAGTTTTACGTACAGGGAAATCCTCTTATTATTTAATTCAAATTATATAACTGTATATTGAAAAAATAAATGAAGACTGTTCATCTATACTACATACTAGTGTTGGTTTTTTTTTCTTCTTCTTCAATTAACTGCTTTAAAAGATATTATTCGATAAAAAATAAACTAAAAAATGCTTTACAGCAAATCCTCAGTCTTGCAGTATAAAAGATGAAATAAATAAGTAAAGAGAGAAGTAAGTCAGGATGGATCACTACGATTGCTTATCATCTTATTATTTGACATTATATGTATATGAATGACATCCATGCAATAAATAGATTTTTAACTTATTAAGGGGAACAAATGTTTATTACAGTTACTTAAAGACAAGATATACAATAGACTTTAGAAAAAGGATATAATACAATTACATATTGGTATCTTTTTTTTTTTTTTTTTTACTATCTTCCTTCTTTCCTCCTCCCCTAAAAAAAATAGAGAGAGAAAGAGAGAGAGAAAGAGAGAGAGAAAGAGAGAGAGAAGAGAGAGAGAAAGAGAGAGAGAGAGAGATGAGGAGAGAGGGAAGAGAGGAGTAAAGTGTGGAGATTTTTTTTCCCTTTAGGCCATTCTGTTTTGAGTTAAAATCATTTGCATCCAACTTTTAACCAACTTGAAAATCTTATTAGATCCCTTTATTTTGGAATACTTGACTGCAACTATGTGAGCACTCTCATTATTATTTTCATCTGGCGATTTATTACATCTTCTTTTAGATAAAGATACAACATCCATTGTTAACAAGACAAAACTGCTTGTTTCACGATCTTCATTTTCAGAACATTCAAATATTTTTTCTTGTGCTGCTCGACCCATAGATAAAAGATCATGATGACTACTGTTCCCCAAAACAAGTCCCGGTGTAGATGAAAGACCTAATGATGAACTCGATTGTTGTTGTTGTTGTTGCTGTTGTTGTAGTAAAAAAGGGGCTGATAATCGACGTTTCTGTCGACTCCACCAACCTTCGGAACTTTGCTGTGAACTATATGCACTAATTGTCGAACAATGCCTTGGATAAGGGACGGTATCCTCTTCATCTAATATGGAAAATCGTCGATAAGGAGGGTAAAGATTTGAATGAGATAATCTTTTGTCCTTTATATATGTTGTATAATCATTTCGTATCGTTAATAAACAAACAAGTTTTGTACTGGTTGCTTGATAAAAAGTAATTCCAAGAATTTCACAAGCTAAACGAAGTATTTTTATCATCTCTAGTTGATTTGTATCTTGTAGTTCATGGTTCAAATTTCCTCGAGTGGTCATGTCAGGTAGAGTATTTGAAAGGTTATTCATAGAGAAAGAGGGTCTATGATGATGAGATTTCTTCTCAGATACAAAAGTAGAGGATGAGGCTGAACAATTTGAAATAACTGTAGTTGAAGATCCAGTATGAATAGAATTACATTGGATTGTAAAGTAACTAATATGATCTTTAGTTACTCGTTGATATAGTTGAGATAAGTTTAATGCTGAAAATGATTTTAAAAGCTGCTTCTTGTTCTGTTCCAACATGACACTACACTCAATTGGAAGATCCTCTTTTTTTTTCTGTTTACGAAATAGATGGCTAATAGGTGATTTTAAATCAGAACTATTGTCTTGTATACTACAAAGTTGAACTTGTTTTAAAATATCCAAGAGATTTTTATTGAGCTCATGAATAGTTTCAAATTGAGATTTCAGATCGATAGGATGCTTTGATGAATGATTTGCTGACGAACTCGTAAAATAAGTAGAGGGATGAAGGATGTGATAAATAATAGTTTTAGGTATCTTGAATAATTTCTGTTTCTCTACTTGAAGATCTTGTTTACATTGCTTTTTATAGTTTTGTGCGCTTGAATAAATTTGATTCGTGTCATCTGTTTTTGTAGAAAGTGCAAGCGATTCAGTAGCTTCCAGAGCATTATAGTTACAATTAGATGCATGCTCTTCAAAGATATCTTCCAAGGCACCAAAATTATTAAACCATGGATCATTGCTTAAAAATGTCTTGAGACTTAATCTATCATATCTATTCATAGATAAGCATTTTTGTATTGTATGTCCAAGTTCTTGACTTATATGTGAAGGAAGTGTATAATTTTGACTGATGATATACTTTTTTAATTCTGAAGGAGCTACATGTAGATACTATTGTTTTTAGAAAAGAAAAGAAAAATACATAATAAACATAGGTATATATATATGTATATATATAGATAGAGTTATATTTACACTTTGCATGAGAGAAAAGCTCACGACCAGCTGTCATTCTAAACAGCATAACACCTAAACACCAAGTATCTATTTCAGGACCAATATAAGATTTTGCTGTACTGATTTCTGGACTATAATATAACATTGATCCTATCATTAGTTATATTAAATTACCTTATTATCAATTAAAATAGATATGAATGTATAAATGTATGTATATACAATACCACAAACAGTTTTTAATCTTTGTAAACCAAATCTATTTCCTAAGCCAAAATCAGCTAATTTAACTTGGTTTGTCGCTGAAGTCAGTAAAATATTAGGCGTCTAAACAAAATAATGAGTATACATGAATGTACGTATATATGTGTGTATGTATGTATGTAATATACCTTTAAATCTCTATGAATAACCCACCTAGAATGGCAATGATTTATAGCCTTTACCACCTGACGAAATATATCACGAGCTCATCTTCAGACATAATTCCTTTTTTTATTTTCTTTAAATATTCTTCCAAATTATAACCTTCAACATATTCCATGATCAAATAAAGGGCATCTGCTGTTTCATATGTTTCATACAGTTTGACTATATTTTCATGATCTAATATTTGCATCAACTCTATTTCCCTTACAAGTCTATATATAATACGATAAGCATGAGCTCTTTTATTAATCACCTGTAAATAAATGAAAATAAAAATAAATAATTAAATGAATAAAGAATGAAAAAAGGTTTTTTTTTTTTTTTTTTTTTTTTTTTTTTTTTTTTTTTTTTTTTTTTTTACCTTTATAGCAACTTTTTCACCAGTTAAATAATGATAAGCCAACATGACTTTACTGAATTTACCAACACCAAGTGGAGAATGAAAAATGTAATCTCCTATACCATTTAATAAACTATCTGAATTAAAAGGCGCTGCTGCAACTCCCGCTGCTGCTGTTAGTGTCTGGTTTTTCTTATCAAGTTTGCTCTTGTGATAAAGGAGTCAATCCAATTTTTTGTTGTTGTTGTTGTTGTTGCTGTTGTGGTGGTGGCAAAGTAGTGAATGTTTATAGTTAGACGGTAAATGACTTGAATTGACAATAGAATTGTCTTGTTCATCTCTCATTTCTACTGTAGTTGACTTGTGTCTCCATTTCTTGTTTGATCGAAAAGGATTCAAGACCATGGTTATGTAAAGCCAAGAAAAAAAAAAGCAAAATAATAATAATAATAAAACGAAATAAAAATAAAAGAGATTAAATAAAGACAAAGAGAAAGGGAACTAAAATAAATGATAAAAAAAAAAAAAAAGAAATAAATAGATGTGAAACCTGTATACCAAGCAATAATAATGTAAAACTGACTTGTATTACAAAAAGAGGTGTATAAATCAAGTTAAAAGCGAGTACAGAATTAAAGGAGAGAGAATTCATAAAGTAACATTATAAAGTCAAATTTTGTCATTTTAGCTGTAAAAAAAAAAAACAACATACAAATAAAAGAGGGAGGAAAGAAAAAGTGCTTACTATAGCAAATAGTCTTTTTTTTTTCTTAACCTGAATTATCTTTTAAGGAAGCTAGTTTCTAAGAAACTTGGTAAATACTAGTTACTAGACATTGATGCATTATAATCAGTTACTGATTTATGCGGTTATTAAACTTAAAAAAAAAATAAAAAATCCAGGAATAAAATTCTTATTCTTCACGAGTTATGTAAAATACTATTTATAGCTTATAATAATATTAGATCCAACTTTTTTTATCATTTTATTTTTTTTAGATATTAAATAGTCCATTTCTTGCTAAAGCTGATTCTAAATGAATAGGTACATTCTGTGCTATTTCTTCTTCTCTCTTTTTATCTAATTTCTTTGATGCTAAAGCTCCTACTTTCTTATAATATTCGAGTAGCCGTTTATGACCACCTGATTTAGCGAAATCATATGGTGTTCCAATTTTACGTGGAATATAGGAATTAAAGTTACAACCACATCGTTCAATTAAGAAAGAAGCAACCTCTAAATGTCCTTGACGAGAAGCCCAATGTAAAGGAGTTTCACCTCGGATATCTGTTTGATCTATAGGTAATTGACAGTTTTGTATTAAATAAGCTACAAGATCTGTATGACCTGAAGCACAAGCATAATGAAGTGTATTTGCACCTAATAAATTTAATAAATTTAATAAATTTAATAATCAATAAAAATTAATAAGCTCAGTTTTTTTTTTTTTTTTTTTTTTTTTTTTTTTTTATTTTATTTTTTTTTTTATTTATTTTTATTTTTATTTTTATTTTTTTTATTACCCATGCTATCGACTTGAAAATGATATTTGGATGGGGTAAGTGATACAATATATTCAACTACAGTGGTATGACAATGTTCAGCTGCAATATGAAGTGCTGTTTTATTTTTTAACCCAGAACCTCTTGAGATCGTGAGGTCAGCACCTGCTTCTGTTAAGGCTTGCAAGCCAGGGAGCCAGCCCATACTTGCTGCCAAATAACCTGGCGTGACTTTATCTTCTTCTACATGACTGAGGGTCATCGCATTCGGATTAGCCCCATGTTGAAGTAATAATTCTAATGTACTCATAGCTTTCATAATAATCGCAGTATGAATTAATCCATATCCATATTTTACTATTTTGTGGCTTGAGGATTGTTTTGCTGTATTTGGTGAACCACCACGTCTTAAAAAATTGCTATATGTGTATATGCATCCCACCATTTAATTTTTTTTTTTTTAAATCTCTACTCTATTATTATATACTTTACCTAATCATTTTTTCTATCGGTGAATTAATATCTGTATCTTTACTTTTCGCAATTGTTTCCCAAAATGCATCTGAGCCACCAAAGGAAAGTGGATCTACTTTACGTTGTTGAATGATGGAGGTATTTATGTATCCTGTTTGCTGACTTGCATTCGTCATTGAACGACTCACTGAGGGATGAGGAGGAAGAGTAGTAAAAGGAGGTGGAAGAGTAGAAGGAGGTGGTAGTGGTGGAGAAGAAAAGAAGAAAAGGAAGAGGAGCTTGTGATGATATATTAAAGGACTACTACTTGTATTGTTTTGCCAAGATCCTTTTCTTCCTTGTGTATACTTTATCATATTATCTCCTCCTTCTGTACTGCTTGAATGAATACTACCTGCAAAACCACCCGTTGTGGTAGTAGCATTTGAGTTTTGACGAAGACGTGGCACAGGTGTCTGTTGTTCAGACGGATAACCATTTATCCAATAAGGTGAACCTGATGTAGTTGATGAACTTGTAGAAGAGGAAGAAGATCGAGATAGATGTTTACTCTTTGTAGATTCTGAAAGTGGTTGATGATTGATTAAAGAAGGAAGAGGAGTAGTAAAGGATATGGAGAAGAAGAGAAGAATAAGAATAAGGCATCCCCCCTCAGAAAAACCAGATTGAGAAGAAGAAGGTGGAGGGCTTATTGGTACACTCGTTGTTCCAGCAACAAGTTGATTATAATTAGCACTCGTCATGATTCTATTATTTTCCAATAATGAAGATGAATTAGAATCCATAGATGGACTTCGAGGTCGATTATGACTCAAAATTGTTTATTTAATTCTGCAGCCTTTTCATATTTCTTTTTAAAGAATTGCATCTCTCGAACTGCTTTCTCATATCGTCGTTGATAATTGTTTTCTATGGCTTGTAAATTTTCATATTCTTGCTCAATAACATCTGATCTTTGTTGAAGTACTGAAATAAGTCGATCATAATCAGTAACAATTCTTTTAATTCAATCTGAATAGCTTGTCGTAACTCTTCATCTGATACATGTTGCATTAAACTTAATATATTCGCCTTTGGATTATTATTATATTTCGTTTTGCTCATCGTTATAAAGTTCATTATTTCTGATATATTTTTGAAGTTGCATTCTTTGCATATTTCGATTCATATGATTGTAGTGTTCCTCAACTTGCTTTATCGCTGTAGGTGATAACATCTTTTATTAGTTAAATACAATATAGAGTAAAGAGGAGATGATAGAAGAGTAAGACTATACAAATATATGAATATGTATATTTATATTTTTATATATAAATGTATGTAAAAAAAAAAGGAGATACAAAAAAAAAAAAGAAGCAATTTCCCTTTTTATTTTTTTCCCAATGATGAGATTCAAAGGGCGGCCATGATTAACTACAACTAATTTATATTTAAGGCAACAATTTAGATCTTTCTATGAAATCCTAACTATCTGTTGTGTCTCAAGGAAAAAAAAAAAAAAAAATGCGGTACCTGAAAAATCCCCCCTTTTTTAGATTTAAGACCATTGTTCTTGTTTCCTATAAATATACGATGAAAGTTTATTTTTACAGATTTCCTGAAACAAATTTGCACAGTAAAGTAAATCGTTTCTCTCATTCGTACAATTATTTATACAGTAATGTAAAAGTAAATATGCTAAAGATTTTTTTTTTTAAAAAATTAAAGATATTAATATTGAGAGAGAGAAACATAAATAACAAAGAGAAGAGTATAATGACAAAAAAAATCAAGTCATAAATGCAATTACAGATATAGTAAATAGACAGAAAGATTAGCACTTTAAAGTTTTATTTTTATTTATTTTTTATAGATGGATAGTATGTCTATCGAAAAATGAAAGCCATTGTATAGGACAGATTAGTAAGTTGCTAATATTCTTTCTGACATCAAAAGAATGTATAATAAGATTAAAGCGATAAAAAAAACACGCGCAAACACAAGAAAAGATTTGGAGTAGAGAGATTAAAGACAACATAGTGATGATTTTAAAATGATTAAATAATTCTGCCACTAAAGTATACTATTCGTATCTCGCAATGAAGGGAAAAGAATCTAATTGTTGTAACTGCCAAGTTTTCACCCCTCATACTCAGTCTTTCTGATTATTTTAAGTGATGGTTTACAAAAGAAATACCATGTTACCCATTAAAATGAGAATGAGTGGTATAGTAAATATCCTTTATAGAAAGTTACAACAAAAGGATTGCCATATAAATGCATTTACAGTAGATGCTTATGAATTTCAAATACCAATAGTAGAGTCTCTTTGCACTGTTTCCTACACAGTAAAGCAAATGGAATGTCATTATGAAATATATATATATATATGATCTGCAATACATGTTTATAGGGCAATACAAATAATCTAGAATTAACAAATGAGGAGTATTCTCATAGTATTAGAGATTATAGCAACGAGATGTAAATGTTTACAGCATATTATTTTCCAAATTGAATAAGTCATGAATGTTCAGCTTAGTTTACCAATAACTGTTGCAGTAAATAGAATGATTCCATTGAGGATAATCGTCAAAGATAAAAGTGTAAATATTGAATTATGCGAATATCAACATTGAATTGAATCATAAGTATTGTCCTCCTGACCGCTCCTTTTATTTCCTTTGCTTTTGTGCAAGTAGGTTATCTAACTCTCTATAAAGTATAGGGGGCATTGACTTCTGAAATCATTGCATATTAACTTTATGTTCAAAACTACTAATGATAATATACCGAGATTTCGAGTGCATAATTGTAAAAAGACGATTTCTTGTATGCTAATCATAAAAGAAGACACAGCTCATTTTAAGGAAAAAATAAACTACGATTTAGTAATCAAGTTCAATATTATGTAATTTCTAATGTTATATATACAATATACAAATGTTGGTGAGAATAAATACTCAATTGTAATCTTTTTTTTTCTAAAGAAAAAAAAAAAAAAGGAAACATAATCATTATATAGTGCAGTCATACCTATATAGTTCTATTTTCTTAAATTAGTAAGTAACTATCAGATGGTGTGCATTAGTAAAGTGGTCTACTATTCCAAATAAGGAATTATAAAATAAACACAAAAGAAAAAGGGTTTTACTTTTTATGTTAGGTTATACACAATAGGTATGTATGTATGTGTGTATGTGTGTGTGCATGTTAGATTATGTAATAAGCACTACATTCAACATATTGTATCTTCCAAGTTATACAATCCTAGAATAAAGAAAGAGAGAACAGATGCTTTTTCTCCTATTTTTTGTTCGACTTTTATAAACTCTATTTATTTAAGAATTTGATTAAACGAGGGCGCTTTAAACATATTTTTTCCATATTTCATCTGACCTTCTCATCATATGAAGAGCTTGTGCTACAGACAATAATCTATATGCAAGTGCTACAAAGTAATCTAAAGCAAAGACCAACTAAAAAGAAAACTTTATTTCGTGTAAAACTTAATTAAAATTCTCTTTTTTATTATCCTTTAAGTTTATAAATATTCCTATTGGCTTCTTGACAGGGAGAGGAAGGAGATATAGGAGAGAGAGTATGTGTGTATGTGTGTTCTTTTTTTTTTTTTTTAAAAAAAAAATAAAGCGATTAAAGGAGAAAAGAACAATACAGCATCTATAAACATGATATATATATAAATTGTATAGGGGCAGAAATAAATAGTAGAATTTGGAAGAAAAAAAATAAAAAAATATGATGATGATTTCTATGTATTCAGATAAATATCTTTTGTATACATATCAGCATGAAAATACTATCTTTTACAAACACAAACTATATTATTTTCCTTAAAAATACACAAATGTAAATTACTGCCTTTTTGGAATATATATACTTTTCAGATCATCTCACTCTTTCCTGCAATTAAATGAATGATATATTCACTTATAACTCATCTATTTATTATTATTATACATAATAGTAGCTTATTCGATATATACTTTTTATAACATCAACATTTAAAATAATCTATTTTCCTTTATCTTCTATTGATGATATACGTCGCTTCTTTGCGATGACAAAATTCTCATAATCAGCAGGAACAGTGATAGAGGGATCCATTAAAGTCTCAGTATGTGTAATATTTGCAAGGTAACGACGGAAAGCCTTTTGAACTGCTTGCATCTTATATGGATTTCGAGTATAGATACGAATATTTATGTCTTGAAATTTATTAGGAATCATATAAGAGACCTTTTCTTGTGGAATTTTAAAAGATTCTATTTATAAAATCATGAATACATGTTATATATATGTGTGTGTGTGTTTTGTATAATTTACTTGCCTTCTTGATTAAACTTTGAAAAGAAACGAATTGAATCGACAGGGTTACTGTCATTCATAGAATAATTGACTTTAGAAAAATCAACAATGATATCTTCTTGTACTAATCCAGCATTATCTGTTTGATGATTAACAATATCTTGAGGAGTCACTCTGTCCTATAACATAATACATACATACATACATACATATTGAAAATGCTTCATTACAACGTTTATATATACTAGACATGTATCCATGCATACCTTATTTAAAAATAATTCTAATTCAGGTGGGATCAAGTATTCATCTACAAATTTATACAAGTTACGTGTTCTAAGATTCTTGATAATCTCACGAGCCTCTTTTAATTCAGGACATTTGGATCTTTTCGATAGTATGAATAATATCATTTAGATAAAGATATTCTTCTGGCTTATTGACTGCATCTGAGATCTTTAAATAACTATCTATTTATTATTATTATTTAGTATTATTTGCTAATATAAAGTGAATATTACCTGCAGATAAAAGTGCATCCACAATCATTAATTCAATTGCTTTACCGACACGATGATTATAAATTTGCTTGAATAACTATACCGTGTATGAAACATTTCATACATATTATAAACTTCTTTATGATGATAACAAATTTCATCATGAATGACTCGGCTATAAACTAACAGTCTTTTCGCATCATAAGAACTACGTAATCCCATATTATAAGCATCTCTTTCAATATAATCAAACTTGTCTACATCTACACTATTCTTTTTATTAGCAACAATATCAAATAAGAATCTACGATCAGCATATTTTTGACTAAATGAACTTGTAGGTTCGCCCATAATTAAGTCCTTCATAAATTGAATATCTTGTTTTTCAATATCAATATGATTATCATCAACTAAATAATCAAGCATCATTTCTGAACCTTGTTCATGAGACCAATTCAAACCGGGCTTTGCCTGAGGCATAAATACATTATCAAATACATGGCTAAATGGTCCGTGCCCTATATACACACACATTTTACGATATGATATCAATATGCTATTAATAAACCCCAAATCACGCCCTCACTCCCTCCCTCCCTTTTCTTTACCCAAATCATGACATAGTCTATATAGCATTTATCCATATATGTATTACACGTTGAAAAAAAAATGAATATCTATACTATACTATACTATGTTCATCATATCATATTTACCCTGCTAATTTAATACATCGAATTTCATCATTACGAATATCCAATTCTGGCTGATCTCTTGCAAATCTTTCAATAAGTGTTCCAGAAAGATGTGATACACCTGAAATATGATTATTATACACATCAATATATATATGTATATGCCTATATATTTTTCATTACCTATTGAATGTTCAAATCTATTATGACTTGCACCGGGAAAAACAAAATAAAGTACTCCTAGCTTATATTATATGTCAAAAAAAAAAAAAAAAAGATGTCACATATATCTTCAAGTACCTGCTTCAAACCTCTTAAACGCTGAAACTGAGGAGTATCAATAAATTCAACTGTATAGTCATTCAATGTAATATGTCCCTAAGTGTTAAAGTAGATGATAAAATTAAGTATTATTATTATATAAAATAATACTGTCTACATACATGAATGGGATCATTGATGACTTTATGTCCATTATAACGGAATCCGAATTTGTTGAACAAATGAAGAATTAGCTTCAAATGTATTTACAATACTATTCATTTTTATAAAGAAAAAAAATGAAAGAAATATATACAACGAAAAGAGAGAGAAAGTAGGATGAAGCTTCTTATATAAATTTAGACTTTTATTGGTTATAAGAAATCAATCTATTTTAATGCAGTTATTTTCCTTCTTCTCCGCCACCCTAGTATAAAATCCCGCCAGAAATTTTATAAGTAAAATGACATTATAACATGATTGGAATCAAATACATGTGTTGGTGTGTGTGTGTTGTATGGTGGGTATATATATATATGTGTGTGTGTGGTTATACATATACATATATGAATTTATCAACTCAATCACAAACACCACTCCTATGACATAACCGCTAAATAATTTTACAAATAAGTAAATAATTAACATTTATGCTGATTTCTACCTTAATGATCCTTTTTTTTTTTGCTGCGGTCCTTGAATAGAATCCTCGTCCTTTGTGGTCTTCAAGTTAGCTACTAGTCTCTACAGTGTTTGACAAGCGTAAGTTACCTTTATTTTATTTTTCTTATATAAAAAAAAAGAAAAAGATTATCCAACTAAATATATTACATATATTCAAACGTAAAGTCATTTATTAAGCTTTATTATAGATTATTTGAAAAAAAAGAAGTAGTCGTATTCATTAGCTTACTATTTAGTAGTATCGTACTCCTTTGACATAATTAATATGCCTCACATTTCTTTGCCATTACTTCCAAGTATATGATGAAATAGGCTGTTTAAAGTAATAAGCAATCCTAAATGCTGCAAACCTTTTATTTTATATAACTAAAAGGACAGCCTGTTATAGAATACTCTTATAATAATAATAGCGTAAAATAATCCTCCACATATACTATGAATATACATTTAGGCACCTATTATCAGAGTCTAACAGTAAAAGTGATTGTTAGAAAAAAATACCAAAGAAGTATAATTCAGTAGAAAAAAAAAAACTTGACTCAAACAACTTGAAGATGAGGGTGACAATCTTTTAAATAAAAATACAATATATTTCTTCTTAATGTAGCCATTTAATACTATAATTAGCAATAGGAAGAAAATGCTTCATTGTATTTATGCTTTCAATAAAAGTTTATTATGTAATAGCAGTAGTAGTAGTAGGAATACACAACAATTTTCGTTCTTTTTTTTTTCCTTTACAATTTTATTAGTTTTAAAAGTCTCTTAAAGGAGAAAATCCAATTCGTGGTTGATTTTCTTGAAATCAAAAACTGTAACAAAATGTCTTAAAAACATATTTCCTAATATAAAATTACGATTATCTGGGGACGGTAAAATTAACAAGAAGCATTGATGATCCGATTCTCTTTTCGCTATTAAATCCTTGATTGCTATAGGAACTTTTATCTCTTTTTCTTGTCGATCAAAAGAGGACGGGAAATAGAAATTGACTCGATTAGGGCTTTCAAATAGATGACAGTCTACTTTAAACATATCAGGTGCATGATTCGTAGAATAATAATACGTGTTATTAGTAATGCTTGTAGCAAGCTCATAAGCTAAAGTCTTGGGTAAATACATGAAATTAGAGCCTGTATCTACTCCGAATGAGATGGGTCGTTCAAAAAATGAAAATTTTTAGAGGTATTAGCCGTTTGGTATTGTATACCCTTCATTTCTACAAGCCAATGAGTATATTGTTTATCGCCATTTTCTAAACTGTGTCCTACAACGGATGTATAGAGTATTGTCTTTACAAAATCATGTATACCACCTAATACAATGCTTCCCTCCTCTGCACTATGAGGTGGTAAAAGGACAGAAAAGAGGGGACCTGGTATCTTTCCAGATTTGTAAAGAGCAGGAATAAAGGGTTCATAAGGTAAGTTATCGTTTATAGCTCTCATGGTACCGGATGAGAATCCTGCTCCAAAGATACCATCCATAATAATAGTTGACGAATGATTTCTGTCCTTCGTTTTCATTTGATCTGAAATGGGACCTTCTATTTTATTCATCATACCCATCACTTGATGTAAAATGGTAAGACCTTGAAGAGAAAGAAGGTCTTCAAAGTATTCACCCTCTGCTCGACCAATCGTATAATTGAGATGAATAGTTTGCGTATCATTAAATGCATGATAGGTACTCGAGTTTTTAGGGTCATAACGATGTAAAAATTCAGGACAACCTGTTTCTGGTGAACAAGTAAAAGAGGGGACCCAAATATCAGAACTGCCAGTATCAAATAATAACGTATATTCTTGAGACGGTGTGCCGATATTAACCTTAATAGCAACTTCATTCATAAAAATATCGTTGATTAATGGGACATGATTATTAGTATCAAACCTCCTTTCATGACGAAACCTTTCTGTTGAAATCTTAACGATAGGAAATTTAACAGGTAATACTACGTTACTATTTACAAAAAGGGTGTTTGATAATAGTGATGAGGAAGCAGTAGACATTAATAAAAATACAAAGATAAATAATTTCATTAGAATTATAAAATAAAGTAAGAAAAAAAAAAAAAGCTAAAATAAATATATCTTATATAAAGCGAACAAAAGGACCTTCTTACTTATTAGGAGAATATATTTATAAAGAACACGTTTTTTTTTTTTTTTTTTTTTTTTTTTTTGAATGTCTCCTATGTCAACAATAAATAAAAATTGGACTCTTTTTTTTATTGTTGTTGTCTTTATTTTATAATCTTCTATTGACGGAACGTTTTAAAGGTTCGCCTTCTTTTGGTGCTTCTACTGAGTCATGTCCACCACTTGAAGTAACTGAATTGTCCTTTGTATATTCCTTTAACCTATTCAAAGTATAATTTTTACCCATTGTATAGGCACATAAAGCAGCTATGCAATACTGTATATTTAATAATAATAATAGCACATGAATTATTTTAAATATTTACAAACAGCTAATGCAGTCCTAAAGTTCTCATTTCAATCAATTAAAACAAAAAAAAAGAGACCATTCATATAATTTCAGTTGAAATTACCATCCTAACAAAACACTTCTTGGTGTATTTTTCATATTTAAAATAAATGTAAGAAAAAAAAAAAAAAAAAAAGGAGGGGAAAAAAAAATACATGTACCCTTTCATGTTTGTTATATTCAAATTGTGACAGCATTTAATTTTCTAATCCTTGAAGCATTTTTATTTTTATTTTTTATTTTTATTATCATTGCAGTCGAAGAAACTAGGTTGGGTCAATAAAAAAATTTTTGGCCATTTCCAAAATAAATCGGGACAGGGTTGTAAAATTGGGATACCAATATGAAAATGGGACACATAAGAGAATATAGGACATGAACGCGAATCTGGGACTATACTGAACAAATTTAAAGATTTTTTTTTTTATTAAAGCATTTTACTCTGTACGGCCAGTACGATGGACATTGTCGCCAATTAACAAATAATTGTCGCAAAAGAAATTTCGTTTTAGGAAAAGCGTATTATCGTAATTGTATTAAAATTTCTTTTAGAGAGGTTCTTTATATATACATTTGATAATTTTGTTATAGAACAAGCTCTGGATATAAGCACAAGTAATATTATAAAAGATGGATTACATAATACAGGACAAACTATAAACCTGAACATATAATAATAAAAGATAACATATTTTTTGTACACTCTTTGAAACTCTATCTCTTTCTTCTCTTTAAAGCCATTATTCCTTTCAAACTGATCAAAACCTAAAGAGCCTTGTTATCATGATCATCATAAAAAAGAGCTCAATTGCCATAATACAGTAATAAGAAAGCTTACAGCCTAACTATTTAAAATGCATAAACTGCCAAAATATCTTGTACAATTGAAAAAAAACTGCTGTATAAAATGACATTTTTTATATTATTGATAGCTTATTTATTTACTCTTATTCTTTTGGAGAATGTATGAATATCATGCTCTGTCGTGTAACTGCATTTAACTAGTTTTAGCTTAATTATTTTACAAGAATGCTCATATTCACATGAATACATATAACAAACTTGTTTTCTTTTTCTTACTTTCTTACTTTCTTGCTTACTTTCAAAGAAGATAGTAATGCTTTACTACATTCAAATAAAAGGCAAAACTTATCTCTAAAGTATTAAAAAGAAAAGAGAAAAAAAAAGAAAGGAGAAAGGCAGGAGAGAAGATTTAACGCAAAGTAAATTAAAAACAAAAAAAAAACGCTAAGATTAAACTTTAATAACTTCTCCTTCTTTTCGTTTATTTTTTTTCTCCTGAATTTTACTATAAAAAAAAAGTACATTTTTTTTTTTTTCCTTTTTTTTTTTTTTTTCTTTAGCTTTTTTTTATTTTTCCTATTCTTCTTTATTTTTACTTGAAACTATGGGTAGACATTGTCAGGGTTATGAAGTGTGCTCAAGTCACATAGCTTGGCTTACTTGAGTTTGTAGAACTGTCCGTTTATAACATGGCTAAAGGAGAGGGCCTAGACTCTCTTTTGGTTACTACATGCATATCCGCCTTCACCTTGGGTTATTGCAACCTTAGATAATTGATGGGACCTTATCGAATTTTGACTGCTCAAGTTTGATTTATTTCCAAAGGAGGAGGGAAATAAAAAGGATACTTGGGGTTGGAAATTGTAAACCTGTTCCTTTTTTAGGGAGATTAGCGTACTCTTTGTCTGCACCATTGAAAGGGCTTATCTCAAGGTTTAGTTTTTCTGTTTTTCTTTTTGGAGGTTTTTCCTTCTTTTTATTTTTATCTAGTTGCTGTTTATAAAATAAAAATAGATAAGGATGCACAGCTTACGTTTCTGACCGTGGTTTTTTCATCTATTTATTTAGTTGAAGAATCCCAACTTGTATTTACTGTTAAGTCAAAAGTAGATGCTAGGGGTCAAAGAAGGGACATTCTCAGGTAAACAATAGTCAGGTCGTGCACTTCATGTATCTGGATTCCTTCCACTTCGCCACGCTACAGGTCAGAATGTTTAGCCCGGCTTCCAATGAAACTTACATCCAACTGTATTTTTTATTGGGTAGGGTGAGGAATCCTATCTTTTTCTTCTAGCAAGGCTTGGGCCAGGTTGGACTTTGCCAAGTGTCTACTAGTTGAAATTGGACGTTTATCTTTCAAGTAGAAATTTAGAGGGAGAAGAAAAAAAAGCCCAACATTTGGTATGGGTTTATATTATTTTTGGGATTAGATATGCTTTCACCTTCTCGTGGTTAATCCTGTTAGTATCAAGTCTCTTTTAAAGAGATTTGAGAACTAAGAAAAGCATCTTTTTTTTTTTTTATAATATTAACAAAAATGAAAAAAAAAAAAATAATTTAATAAAAATCGTTTTATAATAAAGCTGCTTCTCTAATAATATTTAATAATTAAGCGTGTAATTCTTTCATTAACAAAAGTGGTGAAAGACTATAGCAGCACAGTGTATAAATATTTAAAAAGACTATTGTATATTTTCCTAAGATTCCTTTCTCTCAAGGTAAGTTCTGTATGGTTAAATAAATTCAGCATCACTAGAATGTAAATTACCAGAATAAGACTAAAATTAGTCAACATTCGTAATGAGCATTCCATAATCTGATTGCTGTACAAAAGACTGTTCATTTTCCAGGGGTATAACTTGAAGTTGTTTCAAGCCTTACCATCAATTATTTTATCTGGAAACAAACTAACTTTGGTTTTTCCCAACTAATAATTTTTTTTTTCAGCACAATTTTCTCCAAGG